GTTAATGTAATGTAAATAGTTTGTTTGAAATGTCCCATTAAAATACTACGATTTCGATGGGATATTGCAACTCAACACGTGGGCGATTTGACAAAAGGGATGCTTCAGGGAGTACTTTCTATAGATAACAGGAACCTATTTAGGTATTAAAGAGGTGAAGAAACCTGGTAAACTCCACGTTTGTGAAGTGAGAACCCGTGACTAACTATGTGTTCAGCGGTTTTAATCAGCAGTTCAGCCTATTTACAATAAACGTTTTCATTGAAAATTGCATTAATGCTGTTCCACGACTGTTTAAATGTTATTTTTATATAAGAACAAGCAGCATTATATGATGATGGTGGATGATGTAAGGATGATGCTATTTACTGATGTAAAAAAAGAAATATTAAAAATTAATTAAAATCATCACTAATTAGAACAATTTTTTTTAAATATATTTTTAAATATTAAAGTAAAAATTATCTATTTTAGTATGAACAACGTTATCATAATATTTCCATTACAATAATGCTGTTTCATTTAACATTATGGTTCGATATTATAATGTTATTTAACCGATAAGAACGTTGAAGCAGAATAATTTTGTCAAATTATAATATAAAAATAAAAATTTAAAACTTTAAAATATTTCCTAAAATATTCTTTTAAATTTATATTTGTCATGCATTAGATAAAATTTCTTATGCATGTAATCGTTTGCAGAAGTTTTCATTTGAAAATGCTTTTTACATAATGTTTTACGAAAATTTCAAATATTATTTTAAAAGTTATTTACTTTTAAATTTAAATCTTTTCATTTACTAAAGTCTTTTTTTTTTTACTTAATCAAATATATTTTTATTCAAATTTTTCGAAACTTAATCATAAAATATCTTTTACTTTTTGCTAATATATTAAATAAACTTAGTGTTGCAATTAAATATTCCGTGTTGTAAGTTTAAAAAGAAAATCTCTTGTATCATTTATTAATTGCCTTTTTTCTTAATACAAATCAACATAGATTAATACTATTTATATATTAAAATCATTAATATTATAAATAAGTGTATTGAAGGTATTAGTGATAGAAAGAATATATATTTACTTCATACAAAGATCAAAAACAAGACAGTCTTTAAGTTTTTTTTCAGATAAATTTATGAAAAAGAATCAAAAATTGACAAACACTTTATCTTCTTTATATCTATAAGAAAAGTTTAAACAGTATTTTGAATGTATTATTATTATAGAAAGGGCAGAGTGAAGTTATTTTGTTTCTTCTTTTGCATGAGATACGTTTTAAATTTCCGAACATGTACAATCGACAAAAGAAGAAATTTTTATATTCCTGTTTACAATACCTCTTCAGATGTCTTACAATCTAATCGATTTTCAAGCATTTCTTTGTTTCGAATTTAAGATTAATTCTTAAGACAGAGAATCCTTTGTTACATAGAAAAGTATATAAAAAATTTAAATATTAATCGATTTATAAAAGTATTAATTCATAATTCTTAAAGAGAAATGTAACAAATAAATAAAATACAAAACTTGTGTTACTTGTTTTGTTTAAATTTAAAAAAAAAAACAAAATATACTGATGTAAAACAATAGAAAAAAAATTCAATGTAAAAAAAATAAGAGTGAATAATAATAAGAAGAAGAGTATTTATATGGGAAAAAATGTATAAAGTTCTCTTTTCTCCTTAAATAAAAAAGTTTCTAAGGAAAAAAAACACCTCCAGGTAAATATTTCTTACGTTTATAACATTAACAAAGCGATGTTAGATTCTTTACATAAGTAGATCAGCTGTAACAACATTCAAACATATTGCCTGTTTTTTTTTTTTAATTAAAAAAAAGAAAAAGATAAAAACTAGAAAAGTTTTTGTAAAAAACAAATATGAATATATTTATTTTTACTCGAAATTTAACTAAAAGTTTTCAAATTAATTCTAAAAAACAATTTTTAATAAATGTTACTTTATTTATCTATTAAATTTAAAAATAAGAATCGAATAGTAAAAATTATATAAAACAATGAGATTTATATACAGATTTGAAAGACAATTTGGTGTAACTCTTTTACAAAGTTTAGTCATTCACAGTTGTTTAATCTTTCTCTATTTAATATTTAAGAGGACGGATCAGTTCGTGAGTATTCATTAGCTCTGAATGAGGACGATGTTACAAAGGAGGTAGTTATATCGAAGTTCGACTATGTATTAATAAATTTGTAATATATTAATCAAGAAATTAAACTTATGACTATTTTTATTTGTTTGTCGTCGCCTAAAAATTGTAAAAATTGAACTAAATTAATGAAAACGAAACTTGTAAAAATCGGAATGTAACAAGAAGAAAGTTGTAAAAATAATGAAGTGATAAAAGAAAAAACAGTAAAGTAAAAGAAGGTTTTAAAAATAAGAAATTAACAGAGTTAACAGCAAAATTAGGAGAGTAACAAAAAGAAAAATGAAGTAGAAAATAGTGAAAGGTGAGAAAATAACAAAGAAAACAGATAAAAGAACAGTAAAAAAATAAAATAAAACAGTGAAAATGAGAAATTAACAAAAAAAGTTAAAATGTAAAGAGAAAATTAACAAAGATGAAACAAAGAAAGTAAAAAATAATAATAATAATAAAGAAAAGTTGTAAAAATAAGAAAATAACATTAAAAAAACTACAACATTTAAAAAATTAGCTACGAAAATAATAGTAAAAGTGCTAAAGTACGAAGAAAAAAAAAATAAAAGTTGAAAGTAACAAAAGATAAATCAGTGATAACAAGAAATTAACAAGAATTAAACAGGAAAGTGAAAATCGACAGTAAAAAAAAAAATAAGAATTTAAAACAGAAAAATCAGCAAAACTAAGAAAGAAAAGGGGGAAAAACAGTAAAATAAGAAAGCAATGCTGAAGAAAACACCAAAAGTGGGAAAAACAACAATGGAGAAAGCAACAAAAATAAGAAAAAAAACAGTAAAAATCAAAAGTAACAAAAACAGACAGAAACCAGTAAAACCAAAAAAAAATTAATAAAGAATTAAACATTAAAACAAAAAAAAACGTGAATAAAAAAGGGGGAATTAAACAAAAAGAAAACCGTGAAAATAAGCAATTAACAAAGAATAAAAATTGATACTGATGCTTGAAATTTCTTACGATATTTCATTATTATCCTGTAACGATGATATATTATGTTTAATAAATAAAGTTTTCGAGTANGAATGTAACAAGAAGAAAGTTGTAAAAATAATGAAGTGATAAAAGAAAAAACAGTAAAGTAAAAGAAGGTTTTAAAAATAAGAAATTAACAGAGTTAACAGCAAAATTAGGAGAGTAACAAAAAGAAAAATGAAGTAGAAAATAGTGAAAGGTGAGAAAATAACAAAGAAAACAGATAAAAGAACAGTAAAAAAATAAAATAAAACAGTGAAAATGAGAAATTAACAAAAAAAGTTAAAATGTAAAGAGAAAATTAACAAAGATGAAACAAAGAAAGTAAAAAAAAAATAATAATAATAAAGAAAAGTTGTAAAAATAAGAAAATAACATTAAAAAAACTACAACATTTAAAAAATTAGCTACGAAAATAATAGTAAAAGTGCTAAAGTACGAAGAAAAAAACAATAAAAGTTGAAAGTAACAAAAGATAAATCAGTGATAACAAGAAATTAACAAGAATTAAACAGGAAAGTGAAAATCGACAGTAAAAAAAAAAATAAGAATTTAAAACAGAAAAATCAGCAAAACTAAGAAAGAAAAGGGGGAAAAACAGTAAAATAAGAAAGCAATGCTGAAGAAAACACCAAAAGTGGGAAAAACAACAATGGAGAAAGCAACAAAAATAAGAAAAAAAACAGTAAAAATCAAAAGTAACAAAAACAGACAGAAACCAGTAAAACCAAAAAAAAAATTAATAAAGAATTAAACATTAAAACAAAAAAAAACGTGAATAAAAAAAGGGGGAATTAAACAAAAAGAAAACCGTGAAAATAAGCAATTAACAAAGAATAAAAATTGATACTGATGCTTGAAATTTCTTACGATATTTCATTATTATCCTGTAACGATGATATATTATGTTTAATAAATAAAGTTTTCGAGTAATATAACATAAGAATCATCTGTCACACTTACATAATTTTACTGTAAAAATTCGTATTTTATTAATTTGTCATCATTTAGATTTAGATTCATTGTCGATTGATTTATAAAGAAGAATACGTCTTTTATTTTTATATTCAATACGAAAACCTAATTAATAATTGTTTTCTATCGATTCACAATCATTATCTCTATTATCTTTCGAAAGCAATAAATGTTGCTTTTGCTTTGGCAGCTGTGACGAAACAAAAGTTTCGTGTCCAAGTTTAGTAGTTATTGCCTTTCTGATGAATTTCTCTGCCTCCAGGTATAGACTCTTTCTGTTTATGCAGGTTATGTTATTGTTATTGTTAAGCTTTAATGAGGATAATTCCCTTAAAATTATTTATAACAGAAACTAGTTTTCAATGATACAAAATGCAATTTTATCGATTTAATTGCTGTTTTTTTTTTTCTAAGATAAAGACGTAATTATACGGTATAAAAAGCAATAAAATCTTCAAAAATCATTCATAAAACTGAAGTAAATAAGTGAGAAAAATCTATAAAAATTCAAAAAATATATATATATATATATATGTCACAAATTAATTAAAGTTATAAAAATTAAAACATATAATAATTTAATTATAATTAAGAATTCAAAAATTAGTGTATAAAAAGAAAATCATTTCATAAAGACTTAATTATAAAAATAATTTTTTAAACAATAAAAGGTAAAATTCATTAATTATTTTTATATAAATAAAATGGTAATAAAAAGAAAATAATTGAAGTATTTTTTTTTTTTAAAGATATTCATTTGTAAAAATCTTTAAGTAGAAGTAATCGATGTAAGTCTTCGGTAAAGTTTATTATAAAAGGATAATAATTTTTTTTTTTAAATGTTGAAAGTTAAAACACTTAAAAAAGAGAAAAGGTTGGTTAATACGATGACTTTAAGATTAAATCGAAGTTAGTTGCTTGGTCATTTAGCGAACTATTAGCCTTTGATCCTTGTACAAGAATGCGCAATACTCCACCTCCGTGTACAAAGTGAAGCTGTCTTATTGATCAGGAGGTGGACAGAAACTGCCACACTTCGTTGCTGGATGTACAGGAGACACGACGTGTAAACCCAGCCGCTCCCGAGGGTCCTTTCATGCAATCATCGCTCAAGACATTGTTTCTGCTGCTCTGCCTCACTTACGGTAAGTGCACGTGCATCTTTATCACCTTCAAAAAACTTCCTCTCTAATACTTTCACACTTAAAGGTTTTTCCATTAGTCTAAAAACTCATTTAAAAGTTTTTTTGGGGGAGGAAGGAAGTTTGGAACATTTACATTTCTAAATTTTCTAAAAAGAAAAAAAAAATAATAATAATAATAATGAAGGGAATTCTCAAGTGTTCGGTTATAAAGGAGTGTAATTTTTCAACTGATAAAACATAATATGACTTACTTTTTATCATGTAAAAACATTAAATCGATTATTTATTTTCTTGTTCGTAAGGTAATTTCGCTTTAAAATATTATTTTATTCAAGAAAAACATATTATATATTTGTATAATATGTAAGAAATTAATTTTTTAAATAAATTTTATTTTTATAAAAAAGAAATTGCATTTTTTTTTTTGGTCCTTACAACGTTTCCTTTTATTTTATTTTTTTCTTAATAGTAATAATCTTCCATCATTATAAAGATCGTCCATTAAAGTAAACGTTCTTGTTACTAATTTTTCAATATTAAAAGAGAGAAAAATACTTTAAAAAAATGGAAAATTTTTTGAAGAAATAACATAAAAGTTCTCGCTCGAAGACATTTTAAAAAAGTTATTTTTTTCCCTCTTCTCTCCCTACTAACTTTTGAGTGTTATCTTTAAAATTTTTAGGATTTACACGTTGCTTAAAGGTATCTATCGGTAATATTTATCGAATGACCCAGTAAAACTTTAGAAAAATATAGATTTTTCACAAAGATCTTTAAGTTATTGAAATTTCCTAACGTTTTGTTCAATTTTCTCAATGAATAGAGTTTAATTTCAGGCTAAACGATAACGACACTTCAAGTAAAATTACTACAACGTTGAAGTACTTTACGTGATTTTAACTTACTTTAAAAGAAAAAAAAATACTTTTAATGATTTTTATTACAAAATAAAGAAGAAAATAAATAAATTATTCTAATTTCAGTTCAGTTACGAATTGTTATTCAATGAAGCAATAAGTTATTTGTGAAAGATCCTTAAAAATTCCAACGCCCCAAATTTGCGTGCCACTTTACTACGCCCCTACTTTAGTAATATATCAGAATATTTAAACACCATTTTTATTTTCCTTAATGTAACTAATTTCTCTGTAAAATAGAAACCTTAAAGTAAATGTAAATTTATACAGTTATTCTGTATGAATTCTAATTTAATACAATTCTTCGACTTAAAAAAAAAATATTCATCAAAACTACTTTACGGGAAAAATTAATTGATATTTTATGGTTAATTATTTTAAAGAACAATTATAAACAATGTTAAGCTGCAATTTTTAATCATATTTTTAATTTATTTAATGTATAATAGTAGTAACTTGCCCCTGTAAATCATACTTTTCCTGTTAGCAATAGAATTGTGTCAGTCATCTAATCTATCTAATACCTTTCGGGAAGGGAGTTTTGAATTAAAATAATGTCACTTCCCGTTCAAAATATAGGTTCCTATATAGTTAATCGGGTCCTCCTGCTCCTAATCTTTTTATATTTGTCTCAAGTTTTATCTATTTAACTCCATCTTTAAGAATAAGAACGTTTCAGTGTTTGTAACTTAAAGCAATAATTTATATAAAATGTTTACAAAATTTTAAAATAATTTTGAAAAGAAACCTTATAAACTATTTATTAACATGTATTTTTTTTTTGTTTTAATATAAAAATACAACTGTAAAAATTTGCGAATGATCTTTCTTTCGTAACTAATTCACAAGCAAAGATACTTTCCATAACTTTGACTTACGCAACAATTTTAATTATAAATAATTTAATTTATGCATTTAAGATTTATCACTAATATAAATTAATAATAAAATCCTTCTAAAAGTATATTAGTAGCGATATTATAATCCTGTGGATTATAGAAAATCTTCAGTAACGATAANTTAACAAAAAAAAATATTTGTATTTATTATGAATATTTTATTAATTAAACAATTATTAAGCGTGGGGTAGTAATTGTTAATTATTGCTGTTAATATTTCGATTTTTTTTTAAAATTTTTTTATAATATTTAAGTAATGATTATGTCATTAAATTTAATCCTTGATTACATTTCAAATAAAACATAGAAGTATGCTATAAAACAGGGAAGAGTTTATTATTTAAGTTAAGATGTGTAATATCTTTTAATTAGTTAGATACGATCAATTCTTTTCTTACTTTTTTGAAGGATTATTCTGAGATTAATTACAAAATTTAAAGAAAAATTCAAAAATTATTCACATAATTTTTCCCTAAATTTTTATCTTTTATTGTCAGATTGAATATTTTTTTTTTTTTTTTTAACATCAAACTTCGCGTTGTAATTTATCAAATTAAACGATTTAAAACTTTGTTAGAATTAAATCTTTTCTTTCTTTATACAAAAAAAAGCAAATTATTTTTATAAAAAAATTAATGATAAAATGATTTTTTAAATAATTATATTTTTAAAATATTTTTGAAAGTTTCAAAATATGATTTATTAAAGTAAATCTATATATATTTGAAATCCTCTCTTCGATGTTTGATGTTCGATATTCATTTAAATAAAATGAAGAATAAATAAAAATCTTGCGTGTTCAATCTCTTCTTCTTCTTCATTTACTTTACTTTAAAAATATTCTAGAAATTCAAAGTATATAAAATTTTATCCTTAGAGATTGTCGATGTTTGTAGAAAAGGCAAAGAAAAAAGGTTTCTAGTTTGTCTCCCTTCAAGAATAACTAGATACAATTTCTTATACTTTAAAAGAAAAATTTAAAAAAAAAAAATATTTTTTAGATGTGATTGCAAAGAATGTTTATTTTCTTAACTACAAATTTAAAAATAACGTTATTTTCTATAGAAAAATTTGTTTAGAAACTTCACTGATACTTGTATTAAAGTACTAAAAAAAACACTTCAATTATTAATGTTTTAAAAATTAAAAAACAAAAATCTATTGTAATTCTTTTTTAAGATAAATCATAAATTAATTCGAATATTTAGTTGTAAATTAGAATACTTTTATTCACTTTAATCTCTTAGTAAATTTTCCAAATTAATTTCTCTACAGAAAATATTATTATTATTATTATTATTAAACAATTAAGAAGAAGCTAAAGCGTATTAAAATATTTTAATGCATTTTAGCGAATTTAGTCTTGTCTTAGTACTAATATATAACATATAATGGGCCCTTTTTCGTAAATTTAGAAATATGAGATCCTAGAATACAGTCTCATAGCGTGAGCCTTAAGCTATTGCTTGTTAAACTTTGTAAATCCATCCTGACTCCGAGTATAATACAATCTCTCTGCGAAAAATATCATTTTTAAGTTTATTTCCTTTATTTTCTGCAGAGAAATTTTATTTAGAAACTTTATTAAGATACTAAAATCAGGACCTGATTTACAGATAAGTTTAATAATCTATTGGTTAAGGCCTGACGCTATGAGGTTACAGTCTTAAGAGGGGATGAGCCTTTTATATGTTATAGTCAGAGTGCAAAAATGAATATATTTTTCATTGTATTAACCTTTAATTTTTCATTTGAAAAAAAATTGTTTGAAATATAAAATTTAGTTAAATTATTTTTATTTAATTTTTTTTTCATATTAAATGTTTGAAAGATTGTACGAAATTTTCAGAATGTAATGGCAAAAGTTTCAATTGTTCTTCTGAGAATTTCCAGAAATGTATGGATTCGTTACAAGCAGTGACTCAAAGCGAAAAACTTGCATTTGCTACTACAAAAGAGGAACTTTCGGATGTCTGTCAGTAAGTATAATTAAATTAGAAAATGATTAAGATAAAACAGTACTTTGTACATTAAAATTGTTAGTGTTACGTCTATCAGATCCTTTAGAGGAATAAGAATTTACAACCTGACAAAGTTAGTACTAAGTTTAATTAAAGAAAATAGACTATAAAGTAAAACTAATTTCCTCCAATTAAAGAATAGACACTTAAAAGTTATAAATATAGTTAGTTTTAATTAGATTCTTTACAGATTTCAATCTTCATAATTTAAAGTGGAGTGAGTGACAGAATAATGAATGTTATAGGAAACAAGTAGAAGTAGGTTGAGGGATTTTAGAATGATTCAGGAAGCGAAGCAATTGTCGTTTCGAATTTCACTCAGTTTTCGAGCTTCAGGAAGTACTGGATAATGCATTAGTTGGTTCTGGTGTCAAGCACCTCTGACGATGTTTCTATTGATAGGAGATTAACGCCTTGCTGAAGCGAAAGATCTATTGTGAAAGAATGGCATCTTTCCAAAACCAATGATTCTTTACGCTGACTGAACGGAACCAATTAAAATCGTAAAGAACTTATATAACAAAAGAATATTTTAATGAAATAATTTAAATAAAGTAAATAACAAAATAGGATACTTCACGATAAGATCTTGCAGTTAAAGAAAGTTGATTAACAATACGTTTTTGCAACTGTTTTCTTTAGTATTCCCCACGAACTCTCTAGCGCTTTAAGCATTAATTATCTACCATTAATTTATAAATTTTATAACACTAATTCGTTAATTCTATAGCATTATAAGCACTAATTATACAGAAACAATTCACACGTTCTACATTGCTCTTAGCAATAATTCTATATCATATTATAATGAAGAATTCATACAGTAGAATTTCCATTTTTCATAACTTTAATGCTAAATTTAGTAAGTCAGATTAACGATAGTTTAAATTCTTTTCACAAATTCTATTTTTTACACCATTCACATAACTTTAAAAAGAAAAAGATAATACTCGAATTGAAGCTTAGTTTCTAGAATTGCATTGTAAAAATCTAAACTTCGTGAGACGTGAGTGCTGATAAGAATGTCTCCAGAGAAGAAACGAAGAAAACTATATTCGCTTGATGTGTGGTGTTTATTTCATACTTTAACACACTTCTACTTTCTTATCTTTAAATGCACCAACTTCTCTTTCTGTTCCACTGGATTTTAAATTCACTTGACTAAACTGTCACATAAGTTATATAAATTGATTTTATTACTTTCATTTCCATTAATTTAACGTTTTCGTCAAGATATTAAATATTATTAGCATGCATTTTTCGTTTAAAATTAACAAGATTTTCAGCTTGTGTTTTTTTTTTTTTTCTTTCTTTTTTAACTCTACAGTAAAATAAATCATAATGAATTTGTTACGATGCTTATCTGAAATTTATCTGTATGATAATTTTACTTTTAGGCAGCTTAAAGAAGGCTTTTACTGTGTGGAAAATCATAGTAAAAAATGTTTTTCTACTACTCAAAGACGTTTACTCGATTCTGTTGTTTCTGGATCAAGGAACGTTATCAAAGATCTTTGTGTTTCTGGAAATATACAAGATAGTAAGAGCTTTTCTTTAATTTATTTAATTGCATAATGAGTTTGTCTTAGATAATAATGCTAAAGATGCAATTAAAAATATTGTTTATAGTTTCTACTCGATGAGAAGAAGCAGAACCATAATTGCAAGAATTTTAATGATAAAGCATCATAAAATATAATTTAGAAAGTAAGAAAACAAAAGACTTCATTATGTTGTTAATACCTTGAATATAAATAAGTTAGTTTTACAGTAGAACCTCGATTATCCGGACTAATTGGGGATGAAGGTAGTCCGGATAAGGAAAAATCCGGATAATCGAAACAAACACTTTAATTTGTCTTTTAATGATAATACAACACGTTTTCTTTTCGATGACATATCGGTAATATTAAAAGTAAATACTGTATTTAAATCGTGATCAAATTTTCAAGAAACAAACATTCATATTGAATTTGGACTACTACTGACCAACGCTAACAGACTACCTACTGTTTAAAAGGCCCTNATATATTTACAATTTTACTCATAATTTACGTATGTAATGAAGTAAGGAAATTTGATATGAAGTGTGTTAAAAGGAGATAAATATTATTAAGAAAATTCAAAACCATTAAGATAATAATTAATTTTGAGAGTTTTTGACTTAGATTTATAGCATTAATGAACGATTAGAATTACATAAAAGTCAATATTAGCCAGTTATGATTAAGTTAGTAAGAATATATAATTAATTAAAAGCAAATGGAGATTTAAAAATTGACTTTTTGGTATATAAATATTGACAAAACTAAAATTCAATTATTATTAAATAAATATATATATATATATTAAAATAAAAATGAAAGAATTTTTTATTAAAAAGAAACAATAAATAAAAATTAATTTTATATAATTTTTCATATACATTACGTGGTTATTCGTAATTACCTCTTGTTCATTATTAATTAACATTTGTTGTTAATGCATAAATATTAGGAAAGGCTTTAGTGTTTATTTTAGCTAATAACCTAATGTAGTAGCATGAATAAGCAGTTTGTTCAATTTATCTTTGGTGGCCATTTGTTCTTGGATAGGATTATACGAATAATTTACTATTGAATTTGATTACATGATATAGGAAATTACTTGACTAGTAAGGAAATGCTCTCACGTAATAAAGTCGTTACACTCAGAATTTCAAGTAGCATTATAATTGAGGTATACTCATAGAGTAATATATAAATTTTCCTATATTTTATTTGTTGCTGTTTCATTCTTCCTTTACCCTTTACAAAACATAAAATTTGAAAATTATTTCGAGTTATAATTAAAACATTTTAATTAGTTTTCAATTGTTTATTTAAAAACTCAATTTCGAGTCTTTAGAAATCGAATGAAGTTCAAAATTCTGTTAATTTCTTTTTTTGGGGTGTCGTTCATTAATTGTGTATTCAGTTTTTGATCCTTTTTCTCTCTATTATGTACCTTTAATTACCTGTATAATAGTTTACATCCAAAAGATCCACATATACAATTCCTCCCCCATTGTGTACAACGTTGTACTTTCCTCGAATCCCCTTCCCCTTAAACTGTACATGTAATTAATGGAAAGTCCTTTATTCTAATGATCTATGTAGTTCAAATTACGAGAATTCAACGTTAATTTTATTTTTAAAAAAATTAATTATAAAAATGCATAAAATTTTTAAATAGTTTGTTTCTTTTATAAATTTTCTATTATTTTGTTAAATCTTTTTAAAAGTAACGCATTATTTCTGTTCTATTGTCTCGACTAATGGCAGAAGTAGTGATAAGGTTAATTACTTAGAAAGCGAATCGTGCTAATTCCCACGATAACACTAATTACAATTAGATAGGTCTCTACTCTAGGGGATGGAAACTATAGTGCAACATCAGCTACATCGGTTCTAGTACATTTTTCTTTAGTAAAATTTCACATAAATGAGCTAATTTAGCTAACTACTCTTCGAAATCTTCTGAATTCTTCAGCTCTTGAGCATTGTATAAAACTTAAAATTTATGAACTTTTGAGTAGAAAACATTCAAGAATTTTCAAATAATGTTATTGTTTAAGTCAATTCTTTCATAATTTAATAAATTAAGAAATATCCCAAGTATTTTCTTTACTCATTAAACCAGAAAATGATATCGAATGAAACAAGTAATAATATAAAATTCTTTAGAATATTCTATGTTTCTATTTTATGGTTAAATGTTATTATTTTTTTTTGTTTTATTTCTTATTTACTTATGTAAGAAACTTTTATTATGCCGTCTGGAAAATTTAAGTGTACTAAAAATTTGTGTAATGTTTTTAAATCTGTAATGATGTTTTTGAATGGACAGTTCAAAGATGATTTAAGAAGTTTCAAACAGGAGATTCTAGCATAGAAAATAAACCTGATAGAGGAAGGAAATTCACTATCGATAACGATGCTCTTTGTATGGCATTGAAAGACTTTGTAATAACACGTGAGCTTTCAAAGAAGCTAGATGCAACACAATCAACCATCGTTGAACATACTGTATACAACAGCTAGGATTTAAACTTAAGTGCTCAAGATGGCTGTTACATGAGCTTTCTGACAGAAATTTAATCGACAGTATAAGAATCTTCAATTCACTTCTTTCACACCATTCTGAGCCACTTTTGGAGATTGGTGACAGGGACGAAAAATGGATAATATACAATACTTCTTTAGAAAAGTTATTGTTAGCCAGAGAAACATGCATCAACAATCTCCAAAAAAAGCACGCTGTGTACTTTGTAAGGATCCTTCTATGTGCTGCTTCCACCTGGAAAAACCATTAGTGCAGAAACGTATTGTAATGTAATCAAGGAAAAGTGTCCAATACTGTGAATACAAAGGGTATTGTTTTTCATCAGGATGACGCTCGACCTCAAACATCTTTGAGGACATAATAAAAATTGAGTGAATTGCATTGGAAAGTAATAAGTCATCCTTACTCTCCTAACTTAGCATCTTATGATTATTACTTGTTTAAATTTCAAAATTTTCTTAATGACAGAACAATTACAAAATACAATGAGATATCGTAATTATATAAGAGTATTTCTCCTCAAAGAATGGGAAATTTGTTTCAGAAAATATAAGCTGTTTGACTAGNATAACAATTTATGATAAATTAAAAGAAATTTGCAAGTTTTTATTATGGAACTTATGACAAACTTTACTTGTCATAAGTTACAAAAGTGGAGTTTGAAGTGTTCAACAAAACTCGCATCAAGATTATATCTGGCAATTAAAATGAATCAATAAAAGAGTTTTCTCTTTCTTATTACCCTCATTACTACAAGTTTAATGCTTCAATTATAAGTTAAAATGCCGATTATGATTTCCTTTTCTAGAGGTCTTTAAATTATAAAATTAGCCATCTAATGAATCGATGTTAGCGAAAATAAAATTATTCTCTCATCTTTTATGAAATAATTAAACTAGTTAGCAAATAATCGGGGTGAGTAATGTTTTTTATTATTATTATTCGGATATTATGTATAAAGTGCGTAAGAGGTTATCTATCTGAGAAAATGGAAGATCGATCGATTATTTTTAAAGATAAAAAGAATTGTTTCTTATAATTTTGAATTAATAAAAATTATAAATTTTTAATCGATCGTTACAGTTTGATTTCTAGTTCAATTACGTTACGAATCGATCAAGATCGACACGATCTTGATCGATTTATAATGTATCGAGCGCTGTCATTATGTCGGAAACACTAATTTTATCATATTCAAACATTTCATTTATGCAAGAAATTCTAAAGAAAATTAAATTAAATTATTTAAAATCTTGTACGTAACGATAATGTTTAAGATATTCTAACAATTTTAAAGATTTTTAGCAAAGTATAGGGGAGACCGGGGCAAGATCGGCATGTTAAGCTTTACTTACATTTTGTGTAATAAATACTGCTGTAAACTGAAAAAAAAGCTTTGCATATTGTCTATTGGAATGTTACCTTACTATAGAACTGGTTAAAATCAGTTTGGAAATAAAAATAATTAAAATAATTACAACTTTACAAGAAGAGAGAAATTGACGAAGTTGCCCCGGGTATAGGGGCAAGATCGGCAACTTCTCTCTTTTTGTAAAGTTGTAATTATTTTAATTATTTTTATTAAAGTTGCCCCTGGTATAGGGGCAACAGTAATGGGGCAAGATAGGCACGTATATAAAATTATGTTATTAACAATGTATAAGTTGGAATTCACTATTAAAACAAAGAAATACAAATCCAACACCCATTTAATATTATTACAACGAAATGCAAGTTCAAAGACATATATACATGAATAACAAATGCAAACATGTTTTCATTTATCATCTGTTTGATTTTTATCCTTTGCTTCTAATGTGGCTTTATGTTGCCGATCTTACCCCGCTAGTCATGATTTCGAAACATTAAGTACAACCCTGAGAACAGAATGCCAAGCCACGATCTGGCCACGTGAATAAGTTGAAGTTACATCCTTCTAACAGGAAAAGTAACTTTCGTTATCATGGAATTATAACAAAACCTGCCAATTCAATATAAATGGAAAAAAAATATTATATGGAATTGAACGAAAATGAAAATTTGCTTGATAATTCAACTACGCTTGTTGGAGAACAATAAAAACACTACACTCAACAAGCCACCAATAAAACTCAACTGCCTAACCTATAACCAAAGTCTCCTTTTAATTTGTTTTTTTAAAAAAAGCGCTTGACAAACTTGCCCCGCATGCCGAAGTTGCCCCGGTCTCCCCTAAGTCGTAGTACAATATATCACGTCTCAGTTTCTGATATGTACTCGAATAAAGCCCAGAGCTAGACTTAGATTTGTTATGGCCTTAATCTAGAATATATAACAGGTTCTTCCTCCTATCAAATAATAATACAGGCTCTAATTTAATGGCTTTCTACCGGGATGTGGCAACGATATTTTAAGGATACCGCGAAATACAGTGCTGAAAAGTTCCATAACACTTCTTAGATGTATTGCTAAAAGTAGGAAATTATACATTGGTAAAGGAGTAGGAAATGCGGAGAGGAAAAATTTACCAAGTTGGAATGCCACTATCAAAGAAAGATTGAAAAACACTGCCTTAACCCGTAACGCGAGGCACTAAGCTGAAGCTTACTTAGCTTACTTGTGTACCCACCATTAGATATTTGATGAAGAGTTACAGCGTAATTTTTTTGACAGAATAAGATGTAAATGTTAATATATATATTCACAAATTTTGGGGACAGATTCGTTATCACACAGGAACATCATATGTTCTTGTGTTGTGAATTGAAAAAGAATTGTAAAGAATCCAAAATTTGGTACGTGTCTTCTAGTTAAGAATTTTTATTTTAGTAGTAATTTTCCATCCTTGTTTTATTGTTTATATGAGATAATGGTTAATTCTGTCAAATATATTAAAATAGCAGATATGCCCGGTCGAATAGTAATCGCAGCAAACATTAAAATGAAAACCATATTAAGAATTTGGTTATTTTAGTCTACCATTAACTTGTTTTTCTTTTCTAATTCAGGCTGTTGCCAAAGTTGGAGACAACTAGACCAAATTCACTAACCAGAAACGTTTAAATCTGTAAATAAATGGGCATTCTTGCTTCACTTTTCCTTAATAATACGAAAGAAAATGTAACAAGACAGAATAAAAACAACAAAATGTACTTTGAAAAATGAAAAAAAAAAAACAAATTTATCTTATTTAAATTCATATTACAACAATAAAAACAAATGAACAATCAGATTTAGAGGCAAAAGGACATCAAATTTTTTTCTAATGTTAACTCTAGTGTACAGTACCATTCACAGTCGAATATGAAGTGGTAATCGGCCAACCAATCAAATTTCGCGAAAAACGGACCAAATATTTAAACTTTTCACCTTCGAAACTTCCTAAAATCATATTTTGTACTCGAAGGTAATATTCTTATTCGAATGCCACCATCCAGCTTATCAGATAGAAAGGATCTTTTTGATGGAGGGATTGAAGTTAATTCGACCAAAAGTAGCCACCTGAATGAGAGAACGATCGCTGAAAAGTTCCTCAAACCGTGTCAAAATGTATAAAGAACTATCAAGCAAACTAACATCTTTATAGATTAGATTATAATTAAAGAAATATTAAGGAAGAAAATATTGTTATTAAAAAAATAAACTAAAATAATTATAATTTAATAAATAATGCAATTATTAAATTAAATTAACATTTTATTTTACAAAAAATAAACTTGATAAAATATTCATAAATTAACGTTTTTCCAAATAAAAACGAAATCTCTAGATAACAGCGAGTTGACGTTTCTTCATGTTTCAATTAAGGTGTGGCATAAAAGTAGATTTCCCACGAGACTGAATACAAAATACTTTAGTCAAACTAGTAGCTAACTGAATTTTTTTCCATCTCTTTTCCTCTGAAAAGTCGTGATATAATTTGTAAATGAAATCTTATTTATCTAATTTCAAGAAGAAACAAAACTAATAATGTTTTTTTTTTCTTTTCTTTCTTGTTTTTTGGTATTTTCAATAGAGTTCTGTTACAATTATAAAATTAATTTACAGTGTTTATATTTTAATATTTTATATATAAATTTATTTAATTACAATATTGTGTACAGTACAACAGATACGGATTTAAACTTCTTGAAGCTATAACTTATAGGTTTCTCCTCTTCGAAAAATAATAAATTGAAGTTGTAACGTCGTAATGTGAGGCTCTATGTTAAGAGCTTTGTTTAATTTGACTAAATCAATTATATTATTGTGAAAAGAATAGACAAATTAGCTACAGTGTTGTGCTGTGATTACAATTTTTCTAGTATAACAGATTTAAATNTATATATTTTTTTTTTAGATTATTTGAGATTTGCTAGTTGCTTTAAAAACGTATCGACAGACGAGAAGAAATGTGCATCACAATATCGAAGAATGCTGCATTTATCGGAATACGAAGAGGACGTTAAAACTGACGAAGTGGAAGATGGTTTGAAGGAAACCTGCTGGTACGATTCTTATGTGAGTGCTGAACAATGATGCAAAATGTTAGTTTAACAATTGTAATAACGCATTTGATCAAAAATCCTTTGGCATAAATTAGATCAAATGTTTCCTAACATTTTGATAACAAATTTTAATACAAAAAATGTTTAATTCATAAAAAATTAAACAAAAATGTTTATTGTAATATATAAAATATTGTTAAAATAAGATATTTGTTTACTAATTAAGCGACTAAATTAACATTTCTTAGAATATTTCATGCCGAAATCTATAATACCTTCTAGAAGTATCATAATATTATCGAAGGAATATTATCATAATTTATTAGTCACTGTTTCTTTGATTAAGCATGTGGAATAATATGGTGTTCCATAAGTCTAAATTTGCCTGAATATCTATAGAAAGAGCCGTCGAGAGAAGGAAAGTTAGGGGTCCGTACTGGTTTCTATTCTTATAAAATTAATATTACTAAAAATAACAGAAAATAAAAAATTTAAGATTCATTTTTATTAATAATTATTTTACGTATTTCATTTCTTAAAAGAAGGACAAAAAGAGTCCACTGTACCCTAGGGACTTATAGAAGCTTTCAATGGCTCTGTCTATAGGTTTATCTATAAATAATATAAACAACGTATTGCACAAAGTAAGGTGGAACGAATACAAGTTATTTTGACGGTGAGGATCCGTAGTCAGTGAGAAGTCACTTAAGAGTTTAACTGGTTGCTGAATTCATATCTGTGTGTGATTGATAGGAAATCTGGATGAGCCTGTTAGATTTTTCGGCAATTTTACACAATCAAAATAACTCGAATTTGTTTCTTATTCCTCAGTACCATGCTTTACTTTTATGTTAAAGCATAAACAAAGATTAGCATAAGTACTCTTATAGTTTCACTCTGTATACTTATATTAAGCGTGTCTCCGTCTGTTGAATGAGAATTTAATTGATTTTGTCAATAGTATTAATCCGAAATTTAATTATTTTTTTAAAAAAATTATTAGATTATTAAATGTTGATTCCAAATTTCTTAAGTAGTTTGATTTTTAAGGATATAAGAGGTTCAAAAACCATTATAAACCAATGAATAGTAATAAAGAAAATAGTATTATTGAATGAATAAATATACTTAAAAATTCTTAGAATATTTATTAGCGAATATAAAATATATAGAGACAAAAATAAAAAGAAGCAGAGAAAAAAGAATTTTTTTTGTGTGTTTTAGAAGGTCTTTCCTTATACCCACAGGAACAAAATCAATTTTATCAGCCTCTAGTTGTATTCAGTAAAGAGAGATTTTGTAAGAAAATACACTAACATTTTTCTCTTTAAAGTTTGTTGATCAAACCTTGATTTAGGGCCAGCATTTGTTTACCTCTGAAATAAATTCAATGTGACGTTGAACCGAAGTAACTCAAGCAATAACAATTATACATTGTAATGTTTAATACACGAGTTTGTTTGTTTGATATTTATGCTATTTAATAATAACAATGTTGTCTTCAATGCAAAATCCAACGTAAGATTCTCTCCTTTATATTTTTTAATGCTAATACAAGTTACCATCTTAACATTATTGATTTCATATAAAAAAAAATATATATATATATGTGTATATGTATATTTTTATTGTATTAGATTTACTATATATTTCTGTTAAATAACTTCTGAAGCTACTCTATATTTCTTTGAATTTATCTTGTATAAGGGTACAAATGTGCATCACAATATCGAAGAATGCTGCATTTATCGGAATACGAAGAGGACGTTAAAACTGACGAAGTGGAAGATGGTTTGAAGGAAACCTGCTGGTACGATTCTTATGTGAGTGCTGAACAATGATGCAAAATGTTAGTTTAACAATTGTAATAACGCATTTGATCAAAAATCCTTTGGCATAAATTAGATCAAATGTTTCCTAACATTTTGATAACAAATTTTAATACAAAAAATGTTTAATTCATAAAAAATTAAACAAAAATGTTTATTGTAATATATAAAATATTGTTAAAATAAGATATTTGTTTACTAATTAAGCGACTAAATTAACATTTCTTAGAATATTTCATGCCGAAATCTATAATACCTTCTAGAAGTATCATAATATTATCGAAGGAATATTATCATAATTTATTAGTCACTGTTTCTTTGATTAAGCATGTGGAATAATATGGTGTTCCATAAGTCTAAATTTGCCTGAATATCTATAGAAAGAGCCGTCGAGAGAAGGAAAGTTAGGGGTCCGTACTGGTTTCTATTCTTATAAAATTAATATTACTAAAAATAACAGAAAATAAAAAATTTAAGATTCATTTTTATTAATAATTATTTTACGTATTTCATTTCTTAAAAGAAGGACAAAAAGAGTCCACTGTACCCTAGGGACTTATAGAAGCTTTCAATGGCTCTGTCTATAGGTTTATCTATAAATAATATAAACAACGTATTGCACAAAGTAAGGTGGAACGAATACAAGTTATTTTGACGGTGAGGATCCGTAGTCAGTGAGAAGTCACTTAAGAGTTTAACTGGTTGCTGAATTCATATCTGTGTGTGATTGATAGGAAATCTGGATGAGCCTGTTAGATTTTTCGGCAATTTTACACAATCAAAATAACTCGAATTTGTTTCTTATTCCTCAGTACCATGCTTTACTTTTATGTTAAAGCATAAACAAAGATTAGCATAAGTACTCATTTAATTACAATATTGTGTACAGTACAACAGATACGGATTTAAACTTCTTGAAGCTATAACTTATAGGTTTCTCCTCTTCGAAAAATAATAAATTGAAGTTGTAACGTCGTAATGTGAGGCTCTATGTTAAGAGCTTTGTTTAATTTGACTAAATCAATTATATTATTGTGAAAAGAATAGACAAATTAGCTACAGTGTTGTGCTGTGATTACAATTTTTCTAGTATAACAGATTTAAATAATAAAGAATTTACCTTTTTCTTATATATATATTTTTTTTTTTAGATTATTTGAGATTTGCTAGTTGCTTTAAAAACGTATCGACAGACGAGAAGAAATGTGCATCACAATATCGAAGAATGCTGCATTTATCGGAATACGAAGAGGACGTTAAAACTGACGAAGTGGAAGATGGTTTGAAGGAAACCTGCTGGTACGATTCTTATGTGAGTGCTGAACAATGATGCAAAATGTTAGTTTAACAATTGTAATAACGCATTTGATCAAAAATCCTTTGGCATAAATTAGATCAAATGTTTCCTAACATTTTGATAACAAATTTTAATACAAAAAATGTTTAATTCATAAAAAATTAAACAAAAATGTTTATTGTAATATATAAAATATTGTTAAAATAAGATATTTGTGTACTAATTAAGCGACTAAATTAACATTTCTTAGAATATTTCATGCCGAAATCTATAATACCTTCTAGAAGTATCATAATATTATCGAAGGAATATTATCATAATTTATTAGTCACTGTTTCTTTGATTAAGCATGTGGAATAATATGGTGTTCCATAAGTCTAAATTTGCCTGAATATCTATAGAAAGAGCCGTCGAGAGAAGGAAAGTTAGGGGTCCGTACTGGTTTCTATTCTTATAAAATTAATATTACTAAAAATAACAGAAAATAAAAAATTTAAGATTCATTTTTATTAATAATTATTTTACGTATTTCATTTCTTAAAAGAAGGACAAAAAGAGTCCACTGTACCCTAGGGACTTATAGAAGCTTTCAATGGCTCTGTCTATAGGTTTATCTATAAATAATATAAACAACGTATTGCACAAAGTAAGGTGGAACGAATACAAGTTATTTTGACGGTGAGGATCCGTAGTCAGTGAGAAGTCACTTAAGAGTTTAACTGGTTGCTGAATTCATATCTGTGTGTGATTGATAGGAAATCTGGATGAGCCTGTTAGATTTTTCGGCAATTTTACACAATCAAAATAACTCGAATTTGTTTCTTATTCCTCAGTACCATGCTTTACTTTTATGTTAAAGCATAAACAAAGATTAGCATAAGTACTCTTATAGTTTCACTCTGTATACTTATATTAAGCGTGTCTCCGTCTGTTGAATGAGAATTTAATTGATTTTGTCAATAGTATTAATCCGAAATTTAATTATTTTTTAAAAAAAATTATTAGATTATTAAATGTTGATTCCAAATTTCTTAAGTAGTTTGATTTTTAAGGATATAAGAGGTTCAAAAACCATTATAAACCAATGAATAGTAATAAAGAAAATAGTATTATTGAATGAATAAATATACTTAAAAATTCTTAGAATATTTATTAGCGAATATAAAATATATAGAGACAAAAATAAAAAGAAGCAGAGAAAAAAGAATTTTTTTTGTGTGTTTTAGAAGGTCTTTCCTTATACCCACAGGAACAAAATCAATTTTATCAGCCTCTAGTTGTATTCAGTAAAGAGAGATTTTGTAAGAAAATACACTAACATTTTTCTCTTTAAAGTTTGTTGATCAAACCTTGATTTAGGGCCAGCATTTGTTTACCTCTGAAATAAATTCAATGTGACGTTGAACCGAAGTAACTCAAGCAATAACAATTATACATTGTAATGTTTAATACACGAGTTTGTTTGTTTGATATTTATGCTATTTAATAATAACAATGTTGTCTTCAATGCAAAATCCAACGTAAGATTCTCTCCTTTATATTTTTTAATGCTAATACAAGTTACCATCTTAACATTATTGATTTCATATAAAAAAAAATATATATATATATGTGTATATGTATATTTTTATTGTATTAGATTTACTATATATTTCTGTTAAATAACTTCTGAAGCTACTCTATATTTCTTTGAATTTATCTTGTATAAGGGTACCGTAGCNAAACAAATTGATAGAGTGCCAAATGCAATTTGGCATTTTGTCAATTTTTCTTTTATGATTAAAAAAAAATGAAAAAAAAATACATTGCTTTCTCTAAATGTCTTCTTGACACAATAATTCTTTTGTTAATCTGCTATTCTTAACAGTAAATTAGCTCTTCTCTTTCTAATGCCTTTACACTTTGAAGTTAAAAAAAAATTTAAAAAAAAAGGGTTGATAGATAAAATAAATTAAAATGTCTAAAAAAAAGTAAAAATATTTATCTTTAGTATTTAAATAAGTAGTAAATTAATACGAACTTTTAAAAAATATAAAATACTATTAGGTTGATTAGAAAATAATGTCGAATTTTTTAGTTAAAAATTACGTTATTTTTGTTTTATTTCTTATTTACTTATGTAAGAAACTTTTATTATGCCGTCTGGAAAATTTAAGTGTACTAAAAATTTGTGTAATGTTTTTAAATCTGTAATGATGTTTTTGAATGGACAGTTCAAAGATGATTTAAGAAGTTTCAAACAGGAGATTCTAGCATAGAAAATAAACCTGATAGAGGAAGGAAATTCACTATCGATAACGATGCTCTTTGTATGGCATTGAAAGACTTTGTAATAACACGTGAGCTTTCAAAGAAGCTAGATGCAACACAATCAACCATCGTTGAACATACTGTATACAACAGCTAGGATTTAAACTTAAGTGCTCAAGATGGCTGTTACATGAGCTTTCTGACAGAAATTTAATCGACAGTATAAGAATCTTCAATTCACTTCTTTCACACCATTCTGAGCCACTTTTGGAGATTGGTGACAGGGACGAAAAATGGATAATATACAATACTTCTTTAGAAAAGTTATTGTTAGCCAGAGAAACATGCATCAACAATCTCCAAAAAAAGCACGCTGTGTACTTTGTAAGGATCCTTCTATGTGCTGCTTCCACCTGGAAAAACCATTAGTGCAGAAACGTATTGTAATGTAATCAAGGAAAAGTGTCCAATACTGTGAATACAAAGGGTATTGTTTTTCATCAGGATGACGCTCGACCTCAAACATCTTTGAGGACATAGTAAAAATTGAGTGAATTGCATTGGAAAGTAATAAGTCATCCTTACTCTCCTAACTTAGCATCTTATGATTATTACTTGTTTAAATTTCAAAATTTTCTTAATGACAGAACAATTACAAAATACAATGAGATATCGTAATTATATAAGAGTATTTCTCCTCAAAGAATGGGAAATTTGTTTCAGAAAATATAAGCTGTTTGACTAGATGGAAGACAGTCGTATAAAAGCACGGATAATACTGTATGCAGGAGACTAGTTAAGAAATTATTTTTAATTAATCATTTAAAAAATCCGACATTATTTTCCGATCAGTCTGATAGTTCCAATTCAATTATACTGTATACAAACAGTTAAGGTATTTATATATGAAAGCATAGATAGGTTAAGTGCTTTCACGAAACATTCGTCAACTTGCCTCCTCTTTCCCTATCTATAGAAGTTGATTTATATTTTGTTTTTAGTAGTTCTCTTCTTCTCTATCTGAGCATTTTTCCAATGGAGACATTCTGTGGAGGCGCAAATGTCCAACTTATTGAGGTATCACTGTACTAAAGTTTAGTATAATCTGTTTATTCTGATAATAATGATCAGATAAAGATGAATTGTTTGTAAGATAATGTTAACGTCACTTTAGAAGGTACAATAAGTGAATTAACTGTATATTTAAAGGCCAACTTTTGATCTTCCAGATTTTATCAATTTTTACACACGAATTTTGTTATAATTAAATTACAGTATGATTTTAAAAGTAAAATTTGAAAGAGACTTTAAAAAATTTAGCAAGGAATTGTGTAACTTTCCCGGCAAGAGTTAAAATTGTGTGTAGCAGCAACTGTTATGAGATTTTATTTAAATGATCTGTTTCTTCCTTGATAAAAGAATATGTATCTGTATCCTCCTTGAAGACACTAAGAAGGTTTTTTTTCCCTTAGTTTTCACATAAAAGTCCTCCCGGGAGGCATCTCCCTCCCATGGCATATCGCCATGTGTTGAGTCGCCTTATCTCATCAATCCAATCCATACGTAAAGAGAGCAAGAATGAATTTATTATTATTAAAAAATTATATTCTATAAGTTATTACAATCGTAATACTTTATAAAGTAGCATATAATGTATTAATTAGAACAAGATTATGTTTTTAATTTAATATAATAATATCGTTTCAGCGCATTTACTGAATTCGTTGGCTGCAAATACGTTCATACTTTGAGGGATTGTGGTGAAGAAGCGAGCCATTTCTTGAAACGTCATTTGGACAGAATGTCGGGATCGTTGATACATCAGCATTGCTCCGTTTATACGTATCCTTCGGATACTTGCAATTCTGGAAGTCTAAGAGCAATGGCGGATTGTTTATGGTTGTTACTTGCATTATTGTTATCACTATGTAAATGAAAAAAAAAAAAATGCTTCAGTTTGCAAGCATTTTATAAAATTCTTTTTCAATCGACACGGATATATAATAATTGTAGTTAATTGTATAGACGTATTATTTTATTTTACATGAGTATTTACTGTATTCTTAAGTGAATTATTCTTCACTCGAGAATAAATCTATTTCTATACTTTTCACGTGGGAATCTCTTAATTAAAATAAATAAAATTTTATTAAACTTTATTTTGAAATATTTATTATACATATTAGCTGTAAATATTTTTAAAACTGTATTAATTAAAAAATTAATTACACTTAATTAATTAATACTAACATTAATTAACCACGTGTTTGTGCAGTGTAAGTTTGATGTGTTAATGCTTATTGTAATCTCTCTGGTTATACACGCGATCTCCAGTATATGGAATTAAAAATTTAATGCTTTTTCTATGGGAAAATCCTTTTTAAAAATTCTAAAAAATAGAACTTTGAAAATCCAATTCGTTGTTTTTCCAACAAATTTTCTACGACTTTAAAAATTCGTAAAAGAAAATAAAAAATATTATATTTTTAAAATTTTAAACCGTACGTTAATACAAGAACTAAATAGGATTCTAATGCAAAAAACTGTTTGGTTCTATCTGCTTTCGTTTTCGAGAATTTTTGAAAAAGGATATTCCCATAGAAAAAGCATTAAATTTTTACACCGTCTGAAAGAGATCGCGTGCGTAACAAAAGAGGTTAAATTCGTTGCAAAACTGTTAAACGTTAAACATGAATTTGTCTTTATTCTGTACACAGCAGTATCTATCAATAGTAATTGAATTTTCTGCATTAGAAAGTTGTGAGCAAAAGGCGAAATAATCGGTATGGTAAAATATTGTATAACCTTACAACCATTTAATAGAAATATGACTTTTTCTTGAGCTAAGATAACGCAAGATACTCTTCAATAAGAAAACAGAGAAGATGATTAAGAATCTGAAGTTACAAGTTAATAACCTATAGCTTAGGTATGTACTGTACTTATTTAAGCCCAGATATAGTACCATTAGGTTTCTACTTATTCCCAAAATTAAAGATGTTGTCGAAAGGTAAGCGGTTTTCATGGATCAAGAGAAAACCAGGATATTTTTTTATCCCCGAAATAAATATATTCAACTAAATAGAATTAATTAATATCATGTTATTTTAAGTTCATAATTAATTATAATTTTACGTCACACGGTAAATTCATACCGTTTCTATTACTCGTAGAAAACTATTTATGTAAGAATTTTTTTTCAAAACAGCTGAAAAGTAAGAATATTTTAATTCTTTAATAATATGTTAAGGAATTTCGTAAAAAGAGGCCATTCTTCAAAAATTTTTCGAAATCTTTACCATGAATTTATCTTTGCAAATAAAATACAATATGCTAAGTGATTTTCTGCATAAATAAATCCTCTTTCTGCAGAGAAAAACATAAAACAAAAAATTCTCCGAAGCAGACACAACAAATAGACAATAAAAGAATTCTCTTAAGAAAATCCAATATGAAAAAATAAACATTATAATGTATAATCATATAAAATATATTTATTATTATAAATTTTTATTAAACAATGCTACAAAATTGTCTATGTTTGAAAAATCACTAATGTTTAACATGCATTGTATTTTAATTATAATATACCTGCTATTGTAATTAACATGCCTGCTATATATATATATAGGCCGTTGACAGGTTCCCAAATAAGTACACAGGTTCACAGGTTCAACAAATATAACACATTTAATAAACAATTTAAATAATACAAACAAAGGCATAAGCAAAAGCTAATAGCTACCCCAAATGGGAATGATCAAAAATTCTCGTTCGCGACAATTCTGTCGGTTGTACGTACAAATTGGTCTTCTGAAGGTGAAATTTTATTATATAAATTCCTACGAATTTGAGTTCTCTCCCATTAATTATTGTATAGTTTTGACAACAATCTCTAGGATTGTTTATATTAAATATCGTATTAGTCGACGAGCGATTTTTATCGTGTTGTTTTGGTTATCGTGCAGGTGTCCGCAGACACGTGCCACGTGCAGCTAAAGGAGGGATGAGAAACGCCATGTATTAGTTTCTTTTAAACGTCTGTTCTTGCCTTGCTGATTTTATCGTTGATCGAATTTAACCCGAGAGTTTCGATCGTTGATTGTAGACTATCCCTTTTTTCTGTAGAATTACTAGGGTTAGAAGGAGAACGATACCGATTTAAACAATACGAAAAGAAAAGGGGGCAGAATATCACATATATATGTTAGGCTCAATGAGCGAATAAAACGGCCACAATGAAATTTAGAAATCTACAAAAATTAATTTTCATACTTAAAAAAAATTTCAAAGAAATAAAATATATGGAGAAAAAATACACATTTGTTTCTTTTGTCTTGCTAAAAAGTGCTATAGGTCTAATTACATATACTTGTAGGTGCTTGATATATATACACGAAGTGAAGATCTTATGATGTTCCTTCCCAACTCCGTCTCGTTGAGTTGGTTTCCGTGTGTATCACGATTCGATGTAATGATCCAGGTTCGATGGAAAGCACACCTCCACACTCAAATTGATAATATTTACAGTTTATTTACAGATTTCTATATGTAGAAGGTACAAGTTCGAAAACATAATATATATATATATGATAACAATGCGTTGTGACTCACGTACTAGCTTGGTTTCTGGGAACTTTAAACTTCGAAGAGGCCTCAGTCAGCTCGTGGGGTTGGCTCAACTGCGCGGTCAGCCCAGTCTCTGCACTAACCCCTGAGATGTTTACCAGAGGAGAACACTCTCTCTACGCTCCAAGTGCCAGAGACTATCGTGTATTAGTCACTTGCCCTTCTCCCCTCCTCTCTCGTTCGCCCCGCAATTTAAGGGTTTTTTGGACGGGGACTTCCGACCAATCACAACCCCTACTTGCCCGAACAGCTTACACTCGGGTCCGCCGTCATCCGACGAGAGTGAAGCTTACATAAACGTCCGCCACTTGTTTATATTCAGTTGTTTACCATATGGCAAATGGTCTAACGGCGCTTCCTTTGTTTTGCCTTGTTTACAAGTCAACCCCTTACAAGTGGTATTACCTGACCGCACGTGAGTCCAATTGACAAGGTTTTGTTCCCACTCTGCTAAAAGGTCAATACTTTAAACACGATAAAAAAAAAAATCAGCTATTAAAGTTAAAAACCACTGTGCGGTGGATTTATTATGGTTAAAAGCCACCACACGTTCTGGATGTTAAATAATAACGAGCGATGATAAGAAAATAAACCTTTCTTTTTCATTATGATTTATTTATCTTCAATCATCTTATATACGCAGGTAACAAAATTATTCACCATACACAGAAATTTAACTCGGTTACTTTACAATAACATTTAATTATTCATGCATTTTTATGTTCTTTGAGCGACATTTGCATTTTTATCAATACAGTATCTTTTACAGTGACACATTATAAACCCTTGCTTACTTCCAGATGTTAACATGGATGCTGAGCGAAGTGTTAATAAAGTTACTGTAGAAATTGTAAATTCATTATGAGCATAAAGTCGATCGAGAAGACTTTCCTTGATAGAGACCCGATGAATTAATGCTCGTAACAACATTTCTAGGAGCTGCACGTCTCCTATCAACATTAGGCACCCTAACTAAAACAATCGAACCAATTTCAACTGCAGAAAATTACCCTAAATTGAGAAAACTCTCCGAGCTCGACTCAAGCTCGAATAAAAAAAAAATAAGACGAAGGATTCTATGACACAGATTCTTATACTATTATTGTGAAATAATAATCAAAACAATTCTTACTGTTTTTGAAAATTTTAATAATTAAAATGTCTTAGGATTTTTAGGCTTTATCAGAGGTATTAATTTACATCTGATATGGAGAGTGCCAATGACTCAATGGCACGAAGGTTGAGAAAAGCGAAATCCTACTCGGGTGTAATATACAATAATACCTCGGTTTTCGTTGACTTCGTTTATCGTCAGTTTCGGATTTCGCCAATTATTTTCGGACGGATTATCGACGAAAACCGAAATATCACTGTACATTGTACACCCATGCACCTAGCATCAATCTGCATTATTTCTTTAGCTTCTGTTGGAAAAAGAATGGTTTTAAACTAAAACTTTTTTCAACGAAACTTGTGGAGCGATAAGTAATAGCATCAAAACACAGGGTAGTTTCACCCTAGATTTACCCTAAACATAAGACTACCCGAAACATTACTCTGAGGTTGAAATTACTCTAGAAAAGGGTAAGAAACCCTAGAAACGGCAGCACTGGTCAAGAATGAACACAATACAAACTCCGCGAGTGTTTTCAATGCGCCCGTTAACAAGTTACAACCTGTCCTTCGTATCGTGGTTGCATCAGCTAACGTTCAGAATGCGTTATGACTTTTCTTAATCACCACAACGCGTTGTGGTCATTTTTTTCGGTCAATGAGCGATTTCGGTCTTTGAGCCTAACATATATATAGCAGGCATGTAATGCAATATATCTGTGTGTATATATAGTTATGAATATATCATATAATATCAATGTGCATTTTTATTTTAAGACAGAGAAAAGAGTTATATGTTAAATCCACCACCACACCAATCTCATTAGTGCCAGATCAAAGAGCTTTTGGAATTAAACACAATAACTGTTTAAAAATTTTTAAGATGAAATTGATAGTTTCTTTTATTTCTAGAATAAATAATCATTCCATAATCAAATTATAAAACTGAAATAATGATTTATTCTAGAATTCAATGGGAGTAATAGTAGCTTGTTCTGGTCTTTTTTTGCAATACGGTTTGTCGTGCCGTTTTTTATTTTAAAATTTCTTTTTTGGGGGGCTACAATTTGAAAAACAAATATGTGCCGTGTGATTGAACATACTATGTGTGTGTGATAATAAAAGTAGAACTTCTATGGCATTAAAAGTCATATAAATAACTATAAAAACAAACGGGTTAAGTTACAATTTTTTATAACTGTTTATATGATTTTCCTAGCTGTGGTGAGAAGTTACACGGCACACGTTGAGACACATCTATACGTGTATAATGTATAGC